ATTGGAATTACGTTGTATTTTGGTTTGAAAATTATTGGAATTTTGAATATTCCAATAATATGGTTGTCAATAGTTGTAGCATAATAGGACAATATTTTGATGGGATAAGTATTGTACAATAAAAATACAACAAAATCACACATAATTCAAACATTGGAATTACGTTGTATTTTTGTTTGGATTATGTTGTGCAATACAAAATATTAAAAACATGTTGTACAATTGTTGGGTAATTATTCCCATTTGAAACTCGTGATCCAATAAAAAGACAACACTAGTCATACATTTTCCAATTGTTGAAATAAGTTGAGTATTTGTTTAAAACTGTTGTAAGATAAAATGTTTGAAAAATAATGGGTAATAATTTATTTATAAGTAATGTATAAATGTACAGAACCATGTATACATATTAATTCTAAAGATACCCACTGTTTGGTCAACAGAATTGTGCTTATGTTCTTAAAAAAAATGAGTTAAACAGAACCCCAAACCAAATTGACACGTCCTATGTCCTGATCGTTTAATGATCCAATTTCTATGCCATAAGAAACGACGTGTGAAAGCATGACGACTTCAAATGCATGGTTTAAATCGTCGTTCTTCAAATAGTAATGACAGTCTTGTTCTGCATTGTACTTTACTGGGAAGACTGTCTTGACCAAGGCAAAGTGCAACCCTTCATTACAGTACATGAACAGCACTTGTCCATACTTCAGCTGTGCTGTTCTTTCGATACACCTGTACAGGGTCCTACTGTCATCGGGCTGTGAACAGTAGACTACGAAAGTCCCCTTGCTCGATGGTTTTCCCGCGAGCTTCAACGTTTTACCGCTTCTGATCGGGAAGTAGCTTTCCACTGTTTGAGCTTCCTCATTTAGATTGAGTGCTCTTTCAATAGCTGCCCCCTCTAGTTCAGAACATTCATGAAATCTTTCAACAAGATTTATGCAATTCTGTGTCGTTAATTCTTTTCCATAAACAATTGAATTACTGTTTGTAGGAAACCAGTTTGCTTTGTAAACAGCAGCGAAATGAGATTTGACGCAATTACTTGCGTTTTCGCTTGGCTTTTGGCGTGATTTGATGGAAGATTTGATACTTCCAATCAGTCTTTCAAGTGGCCTTGCACTTATTAAACGCATAGGTCCTAAATTAGCGATAGCATCACTTAGGTGATTAATATAGTGCATGTTGACTGTGAATACATTGGGGCGGAAGTTTGCCACCAAAAACTCTTGCCATTATTTAATGCAACTATGATAAATGTTTAATTTACGTTTTAGTAATAGTTTACACTGATTTTTTATAAACTTACCGGTTTAAATCTACTAAATCGATTTCTGATATGCTGTATTTCTGCGTTATTTTACAGGCATTAGAAAGAGAAACAATTGCTCTGCATGCATTATCAGTAGCAGTCTCGTAGACATGTAATTGATCCAATGACATTCTTGATGTTGATTTGGAAGCTGTTTCTTTTCGAATAACATCTCTTTTTTGAAGTTGAAGAGCTTCTACCACAAGAGTTGGTAATATGAACACAATAAAATCAATCCAGTCTACACTGCGAAAAAAACCGGACTTTTTGTGGACATCTATTTTTTAAAAAAAAAATGGCTTAAGTTAAATAAATTTGTCTTGTATTATGTTTTGACATTTCCTACCCAAGAAAGCTCCGCTAATACTACAGCTGTGCTTGTTTTGTTGGGCCTGTTGCATTTTTGCAGATATAAGCTCTCGATACTTAACGCGAAGGAACAGAGGGTTGCTTGCATCTTGATATTTTTGACCATCATCAGTAATAATTGCCCATATTTTGCCGCCGACGTTTGCTCCCCAGAAATGCATCTCGTCTAATCCCCAAAAAAATGGGCCGTGGAAGCTATTTAAAAGGGAAAGTGGTGATTTTCGAACGATGCCATTTTTCTAATACAAACAAATTAATGATTTTTTTTTAAAAAGAAGACTCTAAAAAAACTTACTTCGTCTCCTTGAATAAAATCTTCGGGTTTTCTAATTAATTCTGTAGAAATGCCACCTTGTGGAAAGGGATAGCACATACTTGCTTTAACCCGTATAGCTTCGGTTCGACATATGCGACATCCAAAATAAGCTTGATGGCCAATATGACCACAAAGATCAGCACATGCTGGGATATCACCAATAGCTACCACGAGAGATGCAGTAAGAAGCTTCTGTTCGCCACTACTAAACTTCACTAGCATTCCATTTTTTTCTAATTTTATAAGCTCTTGATATGTTGGAAAAAGAAAGCTATGCATATTGTACGGTTTTTTGGGACCTGGTATGATTGTGGTAATCAAGATATTCTTTTTTTTGAATCTGATAGAAAAAACATATGTGTTAATTTTGTATATTTACGTTGCAAAACATTAAAGACACTAACCGTAGCTCTGGTGATAGATTTAAAATGACAAATGCTACTACAGTCATGCTTACACCACCCCTTTTAAAAGGATTAAATCCATCAGTATACATCGCCAGATCCAATTTGTAATCACTTGTGGGACACTCTTCATTATGACCGTCCAATTTATCTTTAGCTGTTCCGTCGAAAATATCTTCCAAAAAAGCATAGTTACTACCTGATTTGTTAGAGAAAAAGGCAGTATGTCTTGTCGATTTATAAGAGATGTCCGATCTTAATTGAGGTGTCTTAAGGAGATGCGCCAGCTGCTTAGCAAGAGAAAGTTGCTCAATTTGCGCTTTTGGTCTTCCTGCATCATCATAGCGATCCTCCTGGCATTTAGGATTACTACATGCTCGGCTATTATCTCCGGGATAAAACATCTGACATCCCTTTAAGCACATGTCATACTTATCTGTTTCAACAGGGCAAAATACAGCAAGTTCTTTCTTGCTCGATCGAAATTGGGTTAAGAGCGTTTTGTGACCTGTCAAAATTAGTTGTGAGCTAAATGTCATAATGCGCTTTATTCTAAACCCTTACCAACGCCAATTTCTTCCAAATAGCAATTAACCCATTTTATGATGCGTTCCTTTCCATTTTTAGATGCGCCCGACTTGGCAAGCAACGATTCAAACTCTATGCTTTTCTTTTCAGTATAGCTTAAGTTAGCGAGTTTGTCCTGATCGACAGTGACGTCATCAGGAGCCCTGGCGGAGGTTTTGAAATTTTTAAGATTTAGGAACAGGTTATTATTGTAACCACCATCTTTGTCTCTGATCCATTCTTCTTGAGGCTCTTCCAACTCTTCAAGAGCGCCAGCTCCAACATCTTCAGAATGTGCAGTGAAGTCTTCAGCAGGACCGTCGTTGTCTGCTGCTTAATTAGAGTAAGAAAAGTTTAAAACAATTTAATAATTTTTAAGTACCTTCATACACAAATTCCATAGCATCTCCTTCTGATTCAACGACGCTAACTGCACGAGAGGAACCTTCCATTGGAGAAACAACATTTCGTTCTTTAGAGCACTTCAGATTAGTACTTTTAAATCGTTGCAATGAAGCTAAACTCAGTCACCTTGTTCTCTTCTCAGATTCAATTGAACAATTTTTTGTTTTTTATGGTCTTTTAAATGCTTCTGCAAAGGACCTTGGAGTAAGGTATCGTGGGCAAAAACTGCATTTGACTTTCTGTACCATTCTATGTTATTAATGTTTTTTTATAGAACTGATTGATGAGTAAGAAAATAGAGGTGGTATTGAGCTCATGTTTCGGGCCGGATTTTTGGTGACTATTGTTTATTAACATTATTCGAAACTTACTTTTCGTTTGAGCTTACTTTTCCTGTTTCTTTACCTTTCTCTCTAAACGTTACGATGCCTCCCAGACAACAAGGAAAAACACCATCAAACGAAGAGTTATTCAATGCTTTAAATCAAGTACAAACCCGTATGACAGAAAATCATAATAATGTGATGGACCGACTCGATCGTATGGATGCAGCGATTGCTGACCTGACGAATCTTGTCCGTCAACATGTGGAAAGAGCGACTGCCGTCGAAACGACACAATCATTGCGTGTCTATCAAGGTGAAACAATTGGCAATCGTATTCCTAGACCGTCCAATCTCAACGGAAAGACCGGGTTTTTCCAATACTTGCAAACCCACTTGGCCGAGAATGATCAGCACAATGATTTGTACCTGTGTGTTAACCGTGCAGCTCTGGTAAGTGTACAAAGTATGCGAAATGCACACGGGGAACTGGAATTCGTTGGATGGGGAGGGCTTGGTCATGACTATAAGCTGGAAATGGCTGAGAACACGTTGGAGATTGCATTGCAAGAATACAACGTGTTGGATGTTATTAGACGATGTCACGATCTTTGGCCTTGTCTGATCATTCTACAGACAAAATGGACACAAATGTCTGCCTACCAGAGACGACAAAGGTAATAAATGTGTAATTTATGTGATAATTGAAAAACGTATTAACTAAGTCAACTTTTCTATACTTAAAAGGGATCTTCGACGTGCCAGACTAATGTCACAATAGCTTTGACAGCCTCATCATCATCGAAACAATTCGTAGTGCCTCTTTCGATGCTTTTTTTTTTTTTAATTTCTTTAATAAAATCTTTTTATAACGACCAATATACAATATTTTTAAAAAAAATTTTATACAGTCTTATTATTCAATATTATACAACATTATTATACGATATTATTATACAATATTATTATACGCTATTATTGTACAATATTATTATACGATATTATTGTACAATATTTTTCACACAGTATTCACACAACTTTATTGCTCAACCAAAATATATTAATCTTGTTGGAAAATATTGTCCAATAAAAAATGTTTGAAAAATGCATTTTCCAACAATTAGGTTGCACAATAATTTCCAATAATTTTCACATATTTTTTCTCACCGTGATGCTTGTTTTTTTAAACAGCGCAATTTTTAAGGAGTGATAAAAAAATTGGGGGTGCGGGGTGAACACTTCCACCCAAGAATACGGCTCATAGGATTAACGTTGTCCCTTTATTTTTTTTTAAAAAAATGTCAAATAATAGTGTAAATTGTGGGTCCTGTGGTTAAGAAGGTCATAGTCGTAGATCCCACCTAGATGTTCCTTTAAATCAAGTAAACCTATATACGAATGTAGTCATGTCTGCTTTTTTTTTTTTTTTTTTTTTTTTTTTTTTATTTGAAAATACGGACTTTTTTTTAGGTGCCATCTACATTGAATAACGATGACAATGGACTAAATAACCCAACCTCAATTCCTGTGTTACAGCAAAAAGCAAATATTTTTCAAGCATTCTCACTGATGTTCATTCCAAATAGGACATGGAGGGAGACGAACCTGAGTTCATTTCAACTCTTGAGCAAGTCCAAGAAAGAATTGTCCGCTGTTCAACATGTCAAAAACTTGGGCATTTAAGAAGAACTAGCCTTTTGTGCCACAAGAATAGTAATCGTGCCCACCAGACTATAAATCAAGCAAAGCACACTGAAATACTGCCCAGTGGACATTCTTTGGGAAGAATGACGACTATGTGTTCGGAATGAAATGCATTCATGTAGGTCAAAGAAAGATCAGAAGGCGGTCTTCACCCAGGCAGGTTTCAACTCTGTTGTGGATTGGGAAAGGACAAAGTGACGCTAATTCACCGTACACCAGGACTTATATCTAACGTAATACGCGGACATGATCAAAGAAGCAAGGCGTTTGAAAACACATACCGTCTTACAACAATACCTTAAGCTTTACATCACAGAGACCAGGTACACCAAACCAGATTTTGGTTTTTTTGACTCAGGTTTTCCTAAAGTTATTTTAAAATAATAGGGTTAAAGCAAACTATCAATGATTGACAGTTAAAAAGATAGGTGTAACTGAAGGATTCCCCTGTTGTGGAAGTACCTGGTTTTGAATATACATTCATCATATCCATAGATTTACCGGGATTGCCAAAGGATTGACAGAAAATATTGCAAGAAAGTGCTCAAGTCGTGGCACAGACAGTGTTACGTAGTCGGCATTTCAATAAAATGTGTCAACTTGCACTCTCACAAGGTTCTGACGAAATAAGCCATTATATAGTCCAACAAAAATATATAGATAATCTTTTATCATTTTGAATTGAATACTTGTCCACTGCAACTCACTGTCAAACGAGATCAAACTTTACTTTCTCAACATGACTTTAATTGGGCTATGCACTACGTTGCTCTGACTTCTCTGTGTGATGAGGATATTGTTAAACATTTTGGAAGGGTAGAGAACTATGGCTACAATGTTGTATTTTCTTTAGACATACATTTACAAGATATTAAAATAAAAACGAAGCTACATATGACTTCAATACAATCCAAAGATACATTAAGGATATTGACACAAACCATAATCTTGTTTAAAAAAAAGCATAGGCTCGACTGATTTATTTCGAATACCTTTATCTGCACTTGTAATTTATATTTACGAACCTTTATTGCACATCTTCCACCAACATGATCTATCTCAACGAGTATCTTAAACTTCCTCAAATAGGATTTTAGCATCACGTTTTAATGACCATGGGGATTAAACCCTCACTTTTGTCATTCACTATATTTTCGTCCGCTTTGCATATCATGCATAGCCCCTTTGCTTGTGCATATAAGTTCAGTCCTCTAAATTCTAGGCACGATAAATTCGTTTGGCGCTACGTACGGGAAGCGAAGTAAGTCTGGGTACCTTCTTATCTTGTCATGTTTTATTTCACTAATTGACGTTATCTTCCTTTAAACTTCGGTAGTCATTTGATGTGTCGAGCTTCAAACAATGTTTTGATAGGCTTGACCCAAAGATTGGATAAATCAAGGTATATGTTGAATTTATTTGATGCGAGAGACAATACAATTACTTTACAGATAGGTTTGAATAAAATTTGGACATAATTCCTACATCAACCCATCTTAAAGTATAATACTTAATAGAGAGTTTAGGGGACTCAGATTTTCACTAAGTGTTACACTACAGCATTCACAGTGACTTTTATCACTGTCCTAATACAGACTAGTAGAAGGCCAATAACATGAATTTTAAAAAGTTGGTCTTTAAAATATGGGATATTGACAGAAGCGATTGGCTTATTTCAAGGACAGATTAGTGAAAGCGTTTACACTAATAGTGTAAAAAATGGTGAAAAAAAACACTAATCTGATTTCCAAACAGTATAATTTACTTTTTAGTACAGTGTAAATTAATCCCCTAAAGTCTCTAATAATATCCCTAAAATCTTTGTAGAAACACAACGGTTGTAAAGCTATAATGAATATGTACATAAAAAGTAATTGCTTAAGACCTCTGCTTCGGAATTAAAAGCCGACTATTGCATAGTGTTTAAGCAAAGTGATTTCCAAAGTAGTGTCAAAAATACCCTTCAATATTTTAAAGGCGTCCTTAGTCCAGTGCAAGTTTAGGTCAAAACCAGTATCTCCTATAGTAGCAATGATATAATAAAATAACATTTGTCAATTAGCGTAAGAAACCATCACAACAAACAAAATGAGATTATAGTCATCAGTGTTCATAAATAGTAGGGCGTATAAGTATATATACATACCCAGTTGCAGTTTTACAACTCGTGGGGGTTATTACAAATGCAAAGTTATCCAAAGCTTTGGGATGAATAAGCAGGAGACTACCAGTTAAGTAATTGAAATCGTCGAGACTAGGATTTCTACTGTCGGTTTATGCAGTTGATTTGGAGGAAAAAGTAATTAAATATGATTATAATTAGAGGGGTAATGTGTGATTCCTGGTTAACTGTTATAATACTTTCCATTTTTAATGAGATCTGACAAATAACTATATTATTATATCCATGATATGATAAACATTATCCTGCACCAGTTTCAACATACCAGTTGAGACGGCAAATTCCCCAGTTGACATGACGAATGTTCAATGGTCAGCTAAACATATTAAAATATTGAGTATGCAGGTCTATTCAATTTATGGGCCACAATCGGTGATCACCAAACCAACCTTGATGTAAGGCGTCATTATGCTTTACAATATTTTCTTTTGTTTTCTCTTCGTGTATTCAGTATGACCCCTCTAATCTCCAGATGTATCATAGGAATTTTCTTCTCTTGTGCTTTCTTTACGACATTATTCACCTATTTGTTCCTGACATTGGACAATGCGGAATCCTGTGACACTCTGGTAATGGAAGATTTAATAGAGACTCTTAGGGTCCTGTCCTTTTCAGCAGCGGAATCAACTTAATTCCAATAAGACAGTAGCTCAATCGGGTCTGTGAAATCGCTAGACTTTTATCATGTCTTAGCACGATGGCCGTAACAAGCCTATGTAATAAAAAAATATCATATTCTTGGCTCTCTGAGATGATTTCAAACGTCTTCAACTTCATAATACTCTTCTTCGTAATGTGGCTCATCCGTGCTTACCATCTTTGATTCGGAAAAAGTGAAAATTGTCGTGTACATTCCCAGTGATAACTCCTTTGGAAAACGGTAGAATTTGAAAAAAGTGAAAAGTGTCGTGTACGTTCACAGTGATAACTGCTTTGCAAAACGGTAGAATTTTAAAATAAAGTGCAAATTGTCGTGTAAGTTCCCAGTGATAACTGCTATGAAAAGAAAAAAAAAACATTTGTTCTTGTTTATCTTCCTATAAAAAAAACAAATGTTTTACTATGGTAGGATTTGAAAAATGAACTTCTTTTGTTCTTTGTTCTGTCGTAGTTACAAATCATATCACCTCCGCTCACCTATAAAATAGAATCCATAATTAAATTAAATAAAGTCATCTTTTATCTACTCTTCTTTTATTTTATATACTAAAATATTATAACGACTATCACAACAGTTCTTCGTACTTCAAGAAAAAAATATCTGCTTTGTCCCTACATTGCTTTGATTTATAACTTTATCAAGATCAACAACCCGACAAATAAAGAAAAAGTAATTTGCAAAAGAGACGTCGGAGTTTAACAAAAAAATTATAAAAATTACAGCAACCAGTATTCCCATGTGGTCCCCCACCGTAGTACTGACTGGTCCAGATATTGCTTAACTGCGGAGATCGGACGGGATCCCGTGTTTTCAATATTGTATGGCCGTAACTTATTTTTCATATAATTAAAACAGCCTTATCACTAAAAAAATATTTGATAAAGCCAAAAAAGTCTTTTTGATAGACCAAATACCATACTTTTCAACAGAAAACAACAAGAACAAAGGTTTGCAAACCAACCACCACGCAACCACCAATCAACAAAGTGAATGTAACATTGTTCAGCCAATAACACTAGTCAACACAGCCATTAAGACAATTAACAACATTGCCAATATTGCCAACAAAACCAACATTGCCAACATTACCGACATTGCCAACATTGCGGGAAAAACAATACCTTACATGTACACAATGCGTTCTTCTTACGCTCTGACTGACATCAAATCTTTTGGAAGTGGATATTTCGGAGTATCAACATAGTCACCCTGTAGGTTACACCAAGGCTATAACTTTTTCGCCTGATACGTCCATTTAAACGAATGTGTAGCAAGTGTTTACCCATTTACCCAAAAAACAACCGGATTGGGTAAATTTACCCATTTACTCGTTTGGACGGATTTATAGTAAGCGTTTACCCATTTACCTAAAAAAAAAAACCGGATTAAATGCATAATTGAAGGGGGTGTATATTTTAAAATTAGCTTTTCCTTTCAGCCCTCAGCCAAATAAAAAACTTTGGTTTATACTTATTGAATTATTTAATACATTCTGTCAGGAGCGAGGCGGGGCGAGAGCAAAACAGAATGATTATTAAGGTGAGGACAAGGCAGAGAGAAAACTATATATCTATTAGTATTAATATATATTTAAAAAGGAATGAAAGTAGAAAAACGTTTATTCAGAAAAGCAGGAAAAATAGATAAGATCTTGAATACAGAAATAAGAATAAATATACATGATGTTATTTATATTAATTGACAGTTCGGGTAAACAAGGGTTCGGGGATCAGATTTACAAAGACAGATTATTAGTCATGTGCTAAAACCACATAATAAATGCTACTATGTACAAACGGAAAGATGTTTCACGAGTAATAGATCGGGATTCAGTAACCCAACTTCCTGGAAATTTCTTCATTACAACACAACTCTATGCTCCAACCAATGAGAAATCAGAGAATTTAAGGAACAATAATAAATCAAAAACAGCTGTCTTACGATCTTCAATAAACCAAAGGAATAGTCTATCATATAAAACTACGATGGATATGAGCTATCAAAAATACAAGCAACAATATGTTCAATCTTCTATAAATGTCAGGGCAAACCCGCCCGTTTAGTTAGCTCTTAATCAATTTGTATACAAATGAATCTACCAGACTTATACATAAGGTAACTAAATTATAAGGCAGTTTGTGAATAATTTGAGACTGTTTATAATATGTCTTTATTATGAAATAAAATGAACAAGTATTTATATAAAAAAGACTATCTGCTGTGCCACTATCTTAAGTGTATCTTTGAAGTTGTTATCATTTTCCCATTGTGTATCCTGTTACTTTTAACTGCTTATTTTGTAAATATTGTACACTTGGAATCACTGTGATCTTAGACACATCGTAATTTCAAATTTTAGTAAGACTTAGTCACTGTGTTCTTGTAATCTTGTGATATAATAGTACTAACTGTCTAAAATGAGTAATTGATTCCTTTATCATTTTTAATGTATTGATGTCATATATATGAATTTTTTAATGTAGCAATAACATAGCAGATCACTATAATTTTTAATTACCTTTTCGTCCCAATCACTAGCTCCATAAACCAACAGTGGAAATCCTAGTCTCGACGACTTCGGTTAGTTAATTGGTAGTCTCCGGCTTGTTCATCCCAGAACTTTTAATAACTTTGCATTTGTAATGACCCCACGTGTTGTAAAACTGCAACTGGGTATATATATATACACTTATATGCCTTACTATTTATGAACACTAATGAGAATAACCTCATTTTATTTATTGTGTTTGTTGTGATTATAGTGTGTAGTTTTAATATTTTAATTGATGAATGTTATTTTTTTATATCATAGCTATTATAGGAGATACTGGTTTGGACCTAAACTTGCACTTGACTAAGGACGCCTTTAAAATATTATAGATCATTGTTGACATTACTTTGGAAAGCAATTTGCATAAACACTAAGCAATAGTCAACTTTTTATTTAGGAGCAGAGGTCTTAAACAATTATTTTTTGTCTATATATGCATTTTAGCTTTACAAGCGTGTGTCTGTACGAAGATTCTAGGGTTAACATTAAGTATTAAAATTTAAGATGGGTTGATTTAGGAATAATGTCCAAATTTTATTACAAACGAATCTGGAAACTGATTGCATTGTCTCGCGCATCAAATAAAATTTAACAAATATTTTGATTAATCGAATCTTCGGGGCCAGCCTATTAAAACATTGTTTGGAGCTTTACACATCAAATGACTGCCATTGTTTAGAGGAAGATAACATCAATTAGTGAAATTAAATATTACAATAATGGAAGGTACCCAGACCTACTTCGCCTCCCGTAATCAGCGCCAAACGATTTTGTCGCGCCTGGGAATTCAGACGATTGAACTTATATGCACCCGAACAAAGGGGTTATGCATGATATGCAAAGCGGACGAAAATATGGTGAGTGACAAAAGTGAGTGATTGATCCCCAATGGTCATTGTAGTGGATTAGGAAATTAGGTTACACAATTACAAATATCCATAGTAGATACGGATATGGTGAAACCAGATCAGCTCTATCAGTCAGGTCCACTATCTTTGACATAACACTAATAATCAATATCTACAGATAATGTTCTTAACCAATATGATAGCTATCCTTATCATACAATTATTTAGTATAAATACCTTTGATATTTTTCCCAATTATGGAGAGATCGTACTTATATTAACTTTGAATAAAAGAGTTTTAAAAGTATTCTTTTGTTTTTTTATTTCTTTTTTATAAATCAAACTACCCTTGATTTATTACATTTTTTACTTTTAATCACTCAACAATGTCTGGCTCTAACACTACCCAAGGTCCTATGGAAAAGGAGAACTCAACTGGTGGTTCCCCTACGGCTGGTACTCCAATTCACTCGGAAGAAGGTGTACGTAATCTGGAAGGTACTTTAGCAAGCATGGATATAGACCATGTCTTGGAATCCACGGAAGATTTATTGAACCGAGGTGTTGCTAAACTGAATGAAAGATTGGAAGTGTATTCTCGGGAATACATGAAGGTACTGGAATTGGATGATCCTATCCGACTCGGTGAACTCTCTGCAAGAATGGTATCATTCCAACAACAATTGGATGTTTTCAAGAAACAACTAAAGGAATGCGAATCGAAGGAAGAGGGTTCTAAGGTGGCCGAACCTAAGCGCGAT